TATTTCTCCTAATGCTATTCCTCCCCTAGCCCTTCCTTTTACCTTATACAAAAATTAACTCAAGATGGAGTAAAGACTTAAACATAAGACCTAAAACCATAAAAACCCTAGAAGAAAATCTAGGCAATACCATTCAGGACATAGGCATGGGCAAAGACTTCATGACTGAAACACCAAAAGCAATGACAACAAAAGGCAAAATTGACAAATAGGATCTAATTAAACTAAAGAGCTTCTGTACAGCAAAAGAAGCTATCACCAGAGTGAAGAGGCAATTTACAGAATGGGAGAAAATTTTTGTAATCTATCCGTATGACAAAGGACTATTATCCAGAATCTACAAAGACCTTACACAAATTTACAAGAAAAAAAACTAACAACCTCATAAAAAGTGGGTGAAATATATAAACAGACACTTCTCAAAAGAACACATTTATGCAGCCAACAAGCATATGGAAAAAAAGCTCATAATCACTGGTCATTAGAGAAATGTAAATTAAAATCACAATGAGATATCATCTTATGCCAGCTGGAATGGCTATCATTTAAAAGGCAGGAAACAACAGATGCCGGAGAGAATGTGGAGAAGTAGGAACACTTTTACACTGTTGATGGGGTGTAAATTAGTTCAACCATTGTGGAAGACAGCGTGGTGATTCCTCAAGGATCTAGAACCAGAAATACCATTTGACCCAGCAATCCCATTAGTGGGTTTATACCCAAAGGATTGTAAATCATTCTACTATAAAGACACATGCACACGTATGTTTATTGCAGCAGTATTTACAATGGCAAAGACTTGGAACAAACCCAAATGCCCATCAGTGATAGACTGGATAAACAAAATGTGGCACACATACACCATAGAATACTATGCAACCATAAAAAAGGATGAGTTCATGTTTTTTGAAGGGACACGGAGCAAGCTGGAAACCATTATTCTCAGCAGATTAATACCAGAACAGAAATCCAAACACCAGATGTTCTCACTCATAAGTGGGAGTTGAACAATGAGAACATATGGACACAGGAGGAGAACATCACATACCACGGCCTCTCAGGGTTCGGTTTAAGTGATGGATGATGTTTATTGATTTGTGTATGTTGAACCAGCCTTTCATCCCAGAGATGAAGCTGACTTGATGGTGGTGGATAAGCTTTTTGATGTGCTGCTGGGTTTTGTTTGCCAGTATTTTATTAAGAATTTTTGCATCAATGTTCATCATGGATATTGGCCTGAAATTTTTGTGTGTATGTGTCTCTGCCAGGTTTTGGTATCAGAATGATGCTGCCTCATAAAAAGAGTTAGGGAAAAGTCCCTCTTTTTCTATTGCTTGGAATAGTTTCAGAAGGAATGGTTCCAGATCCTCATTTTATCTCTGGTAGAATTTGACTGTGAATCTGTCTGGCCTTGGGCTATTTTGGTAGGTGGGCTATTAATTAATGCCTCAATTTATGAACTTGTTATTTGTTTATTCAGTGATTTGATTTCTTCCTGGTTTAGTCTTGGGAGGGTGTATGTGTCCAGGAATTTATCCATTTCTTCTAGCTTTTCTAGTTTATTTGCATAGATGTGTTTATAGTATTCTCTGAGGATAGTTTGTATTTCTGTGGGATTAATGGTGATACTTCCTTTATAATTTTTTATTGTGGCTATTTGATTCTTCTCACTTTCCTTCTTTATTAGTCTGGCTAGCACTCTATTTTGTTAATGTTTTCAAAAAACCATCTCCTGGATTCATTGATTTTTGAAGGGTCTTTCATGTGTCTGTCTCCTTCAGTTTTGCTTGATCTTAGTTATTTCTTGTTTTCTGCTAGCTTTCGAATTTGTTTGCTCTTGCTTCTCTAGTTCTTTTTTTTTTTTTTTTTTTTTTTTTTGGGACAGAGTCTCTCTGTTGCCAGGTGACAGGCTGGAGTGCAGTGGCACAATCTCGGCTCACTGCAACCTCTTTCTCCCGGGTTCAAGCAATTCTCCTGCCTCAGCCTTCCGAGTAGCTGGGACTACAGGCATGTGCCACCACATCCAGGTAATTTTTGTATTTTTAGTAGAGACAGGGTTTCACCATGTTGGCCAGGATGGTCTCGATCTCTTGTCCTCATGATCTGCCCACCTCAGCCTCCCAAAGTGCTGGGATTACAGGCGTGAAGCCGCACCCAGCCTCTAGCTCTTTTAATTGTTAGGATATTGACTTTCCCGTTTTCTTTTGTGGGCATTTAGCCAAACACTGCTTTAGCCATGTCCCAGAGATTCTGGTACATTGTATCTTTGTTCTCATTGGTTTAAAGAACTTATTTATTTATGGCTTAATTTCATTATTTACCTAGTAGTCATTCAAGAGCAGGTTGTTCAGTTTCCATGTAGTTGTGTGGTTTTGAACGAGTTTCTTAATCCTGAGTTCTAATTTGATTGCACTGTGCTCTGAGAGACTGTTATGATTTCTTTTCTTTTGAATTTGCTGAGGTATGTTTTACTTCCAATTATATGGTCAATTTTAGAATAAGTGCAATATGGTGCTGAGAAGAATGTATATTCTGTTGATCTGTGGTGAATAGTTCTGTAGATGTCTATTAGGTCCTCTTGGACCAGGGCTGAGTTCAAGTCCTGAATATTCTTGTTAATTTTCTTTCTCTTTGATCTGTCTAATACTGACAGTGGGGTGTTAAAGTCTCCCACTATCATTGTGCGGGAGTCTAAGTCTCTGTTGATCTCTAAGAATTTGCTTTATGAATCTGGGTGCTCCAGTATTGAGTGTCTATATGTTTAGGATAGTTAGCTTTTCTTGTTGCATCGATCACTTTATCATTATGTAATGCTCTTCTTTGTCTTTTTTGATCTTTGTTGGTTTAAAGTCTGTTTTACCAGAGACTAGGATTGCAACTCCTGCTATTTTTCTTTCTTTCCATTTGCTTGGTAAATCTTCTTCCATCTTCTTATTTTGAGACTATGTATGTCTTTGCATGTGAGGGGGGTCTCCTGAGTACATCACACTGATGGTTCTTGACTCTTTATCTGATTTGTCAATCTGTGTCTTTCAATTGGGGTACTTAGCCCATTTACATTTAAGGTTAATATTGTTATGCATGAATTTGATTCTGTCATTATGATGCTAGCTGGTTATTTTGCCCATTAATTGATGCAGTTTCTTCATAGTGTTGATGGTCTTTACAAATTGGTATGTTTTTGTAGTGGCTGGTACCCGTTCCTTCAGGAACTCTTGTAAGGCAAGCCTGGTGATGACAAAATCTCTCAGCATTTGCTTGTCTGTAAAGGATTTTATTTATCCTTCATTTATGAAGCCTAGTTTGGCTGGATTATGAAACTCTGGGTTGAAAATTCTTTCCTTTAAGAATGTTGAATATTTGCCCCCACCCTCTTCTGGCTTGTAGGGTATCTGCAGAGAGATTCATTGTTAATCTGATGGATTTCCTTTTGTGGGTAACCGACCTTTCTCTCTGCCTGCCCTTAACATTTTTTTCCTTCACTTTAACCTTGGTGAATATGCATATTATGTGTCTGGGAGTTGTTCTTCTCAAGGAGTATTTTTTGGTGTTCTTTGTATATTCTGAATTTGAATGTTGGCCTGTCTTGCTATGTTGGAGAAGTTCTCCTGGATAATATCCTGAAAAGCGTTTTCCAACTTGGTTCCATTTTCGCCATCACTTTCAGATACACCAATCAAACCTTGTTTTGGTCTTTTCACATGGTTCCATATTTCTTTGAGGCTTTGTTTATTCCTTTTCATTCTTTTTTCTCTAATCTTGTTTTCATGCTTTATTTCATTAAGTTCATCTTCAATCTCTGATATCCTTTTTTTCCCTTGATTGATTCAAAAATGGATACTTGTGTATGTTTCATGAAGTTCTTGTGCTGTGTTTTCCAGCTCCATCTGGTCATTTATGTTCTTCTCTAAACTGCTTATTTTAGTTAGCAATTGCTATGACCTTTTCCTAAGGTTCTTAGCTTCCTTGCATGTTAGAACATGCTCCTTTAGCTTGGAGGAGTTTGTTATTGCCCATCTTCTGAAGCCTACTTTTGTCAATTTGTCAAACTCATTCTCCATTCAATTTTGTTTCCTTTCTGGCAAGAAGTTGCAATCCTTTGGAGGAGAAGAGGTGTTCGGGTTTTTGGAATTTTCAGCTTTTAGTATTGAGTTTTCCTCATCTTTGTGGATTTATCTACATGTGGTCTTTTTGTTTTGTTTTTTGAGATGGAGTTTCACTCTTGTTACCCAGGCTGGAGTGCAATGGCGTGATCTTGGCTCACTGCAACCTCCTCCTCCTGGGTTCAAGCAATTCTCCTTCCTCAGCCTCCCGAGTAGCTGGGACTACAGGCGTGTGCCACCATGCCCAGCTAATTTTTGTATTTTTAGTAGAGACACGGTTTCACTATGTTGACCAGGATGGTCTCAATCTCTTGACCTCATGATCCACCCACCACGGCCTCCCAAAGTGCGGGAGTCCCCACACCCAGCCATACATGTGGTCTTTGATGTGGTGACCTTCACATGGGTTTCTGTGTAGATGCTGTTTTTGTTGATGTCAATTGTATTTCTTTCTGTTTGTTAGTTTTCCTTCTAACAGGTCCCTCTTCTGCAGGTCTCTTGGAGTTTGCTGGAGGTCCACTCCAGACTCTGTTTGCCTTGGTATCACCAGCAGAGGCTGCAGAATGGCAAAGATTGTTGCCTGTTCCTTCCTCTGGAAGCTTTTTCCCAGTGGGGCACCTGCCAGATGCTAGCTGGAGCTCTGTTGTATGAGGTGTCTGTTAACCCCTGCTGGGAGGTGTCTCCCAGTCAGGAGGCATGGGGTTTGGGAACCCACTTAATGAAGCAGTCTGTCCTTTAGCAGAGCTTGAGCACTGTGCTGGGAGATCTGCTACTGTTTTTAGAGCTGGTATGTAGGAATGTTTGTCTGCTGGAGCTGTGCCCACAGCTGTCCCTTCCCCCAGATGCTGTGTCCCAGGGAGATGGGAGTTTTATTTATAAACACCTGACTGGGGCTGCTGCCTTTCCTTCAGAGATGCCCTATCCAAAAAGGAAGAATCTAGAGAAGCAGATTTGCTGAGCTGTGGTGGGCTCTGCCCAGTTCAAACTTCGTGGTGGGTTTAGTTACTCTTTCTTTCCTTCTTTCCCTTCCTTCCTTCCTTCCTTCCTTCCTTCCTTCCTTCCTTCCTTCCTTCCTTCCTTCCTTCCCTTCCTCCCTCCTTCTCTCTCTTTCTTTCTTTCTTTCTCTTTCTTTTCTTATATGATTTTTCTTTTTAGGCTGTTAATATGGTGAATTACACTGATTGATTTTTGAATGTTAAATGAATCTTGCTTTTTGTGAATATATGTTACTCAGCCATGTTGTATTATCTTCTTATATATAATGTCTGTCTGTTTTTCATATTCCCAAAACTTCTGGCCATATGAAAGGAGTTGGAAAGTATTTCATGTTCTGGAATTTTCTTTAAGAGTTTTTGTAGAATTGGCATCATTTGTTCCTTAAATGTTCGGTATAATTCTCCAGTGAAGTCAGATGGGCCTGGAGTTTTTTTATTCTTGTTATTTGTGGGGGGTTGGGGTTTAAATTACAAATTTAATTTATTTAATAGGCTATTTAGATTATTTATTATTGGATGAAATTGGTAGTTTGTGTCTTTTAAGAAATTTTCCTATTCATCTAAATTGTCAAACTTATTGGCATAATGTTCATTATAGCATTTTCTTAGTTTTAAAAATATATGCAAAAATATAGTGATGTCACCTTTATTATTTCCAACAATGGGTAATTTGTGTCTTCTCTCTTCCTTCCCCTGTTTAGTTTGGCTACAGGTTCACCAATTTTATTGATCTTCTTAAAGAAGCAGCATTGGGTTTCATTAATTTTTCATGATTTTATATACTTTATTAATATCTACTCTGATTTTTTAAATAGATCCTCTTCTACTTTGGTTTTAATTTGCTCCTTGGCTTCTAGTTTCTTTCCTATTTCCTTATTCCCTTTTTTTTCTAAGAAATGAGGTCTCACTCTGTCACCTAGGCTGTGACAGCTGATGTTGTTTCACTCAGGACAACTGATGATCCTTTGTCTGTAATGTTTTTTACCTTATGGCTACTTTTAAGATTTTTTTTCTCTCTATCATCAAAATTTTAAGCAGTTTGATCATTTAGTGTCTTGGTGTCTTTTTATTTATTTATTTTTATGTGTGTGTGCTTTAAGTTCATTGAGCATCTCAGATCTGTGGGCTTTGGTACTTCATTAAATTGAAGATATTTTGACCATTATCTCTTTAAACATTATCTTAATCCTTGCTTCTTAAGAACTCCAATTACATGCATATTAGACAAATTGAATCCATCACTTAGCTTAATGATAACGCTGTTAAATATTTTTTAGTCATTGTGTTTTATTTGGGATAGTTTCTATTGTCTTCAAATTAATATTTTCTTCTGCAATGAATAATCTGCCATTAATCTCACAGAGTGTATTTTTTTCTTGAACATTCTACTTTTTTATTTCTAGATGTTTAGATTTGTGTTATGTTTTTATTTTTCAGATTTCTGCTTAATATGTTCAACATTATCTCTTGTTTGAACATGGTAGTTATAATAATTATATGTGTCCATTTTCACTAATTCTATGTGTAATTTCTATGTCAATTTTGACTGATTACTTTTTCTCATTATTGTTTTTATTTTCCTCTTCCTTTGCATGACTTAATTTTTAATTAAATGCCAAATACTGTGAATTTTGCCTTGTTGTGTTCTGGGTATTCTTCTCTTCCTACAAATATCAAATTTTGTTGTTTGAAGCACTTAAGTTACTTGGAAACAGTTTTATTTTGGCAGGTAGTTTTTTGAAGTGGCACCAAAGTAGAATTGAGTCTAGGGCTAACTTTTCCCTAGTACTATATTGATACAAAACCCTTCTATGTACTTTATACAATGCTTTTGAAATGATCAGATTTTAGACTTTGCTGATGAGAATAGGAGCTATTCTTCTGTAGGAACTCTCGTGTTGTTCTCTATTATCTTTTTGGGTCATTCTTTTCCTGATCTCAATTATTTTTCTCACATGCAGAAGCTGGTTAGTACTTAGTTGAAGGCTTGATGTGGACACTGCAGATCTCTGAAGCTCTCTCCTCTCTGTATCTCTGCTCTACAGAGTCTACTTGCTGTGATATTCCTTGGCTCCCAGATACATCTTCACTGCTCAAGGTGACTACTGAACTCTGCCTATGTTTTTCTTCTTTATGTCATAGCCTGAAAATTCTTTTTATATAATACCAAGGCAATCATAGAACTCACTTTGTTCATTATTCCCATTTCTCAGTGATCAATGTTTTTTGTAGCATGAATTTTAATGTTTTGAAAATTATTGTTTCCTTAATTTTGTTGATTTAGTTGTTTCAGGGGTATAAACAGTATATATGGTCTTCATTACTTTGTTTGGAAAAAAGCTTAAGTTCCTGAGTATCTATTTTTTTTAATGCAAGGTTGTAGACCTAACGGTTTCTGCACGTATTAAAATCAGGTGGAGAGCTTTTAAATATGACCTTGTCTCTGAGATTCTGATTTAATTGGTCTGTAATGATGTTTCTGTTAAGTGTTATATCATTTACACCTCTGTTGTAGTTGTTTAGTTCTCTGTTGCTTTATAATTGTCACACATAACACTATTAAAAGTGTCATTTACTTCAGCTGATGACCATCAAAGTCCTTTAAGGGTTTGCCTGTTTATTTATTTATTAATTTTTAGACATGGGGTCTTTCTATGTTGCTCAGACTGGAGTGTGATGACATGATCAGAGCTTAGCTCACTGCCGCCTGAACTTCTGGGCTCAAGTAATCCTCCTGCCTCAGCTCCCCAAGTAGCTTGGACTACAGGTATGTACCACCATACCTGTATAGTGTATATTGTGTATACCACCATATCTGTATAGCATATATAGTGTATACCACCATACCTGTATAGTGTATGTAAGGCCCAGAAGTTTGCCTATATTTTGACATGCAAAATTAAGTCATGTCATTTGGTATTCTTAAAAATTAGGGTAGCTGAATGGGTGTTTATCTTACTCCACCAGGAAGATTTTGGTGCTGGATACAAGGCAGTTAATGAGTAGTCCCATTTTTTTCCCATACTTAAATGAAAATTTACAACTTACACATATTTCATGGGTCATATAAGCTCACATAATGAAATCAGAATTGGTATGTTTTAAACTGGAAAGAAAGTAGGTCATTTTGATTTAATGTTTAAATTTTAACTGGAAATTTTGCACACCTAAAAAGGCTGCAGTGACCTACATTTTAAAACTTTATTAGTTGAATCTTAACTTCAGGTTCTTTCTAACAGATACAATAATCGTCATAACTTGATGCTGAAAATCTATCTACTTAACACACAACTTGATTCCACAAGGCATAATATATTTTCCTAGAAGATTTCTAAAATTACCCAATCTAGTTGGCTGTTTAGGTTGCTAACTTTTTATGCTTATATATGAGCTTTAGAAATGAGCATCTTTAAGGAATTCTTGTATACTGAATTATACATGTAAGTAAAAACAATTGTACTTTTTGGTTAGCATTGGGTATGGTGTTGAGCATTTGTGACATTGCTTACTCTGAGTTTTCAGGACCTAGCTAGGCTGAATTCTTACTCATATTTCATTTTGCTCATAACATTATTGTGAAATAAACAACAAAAAACAAGTGAAATTAAACAACAGCAGCAGCAATGATGAGGAAGTAAAGTCATCACAAGGCCTAAGTGTCACAGGATATCAGGGAGAAAGTCTCTATCCTATAAATTTGCTTTACTGATGACATGGGACTTACATATAAAATATACAACAAAACTGCTAACATAGAAAAATCCCACTCCTAAAATCTGCTTATACTCCCTGATTTTTATATTTCCATTTATAGCATTATTATATTTCCATTTATACCATTATTATATTTATAGTCATCTGACTAGGGTCAAAGCTTTGGAGTAATGTTTTCCTTCTCTTTCTGTATACTTTTAATCAGTCACTCATTATAGCTACCTTTTATCAAGCAGTTAGTATCTGCCAGAAGCCTTATATCATCTAAATCTCATAATACACTTTAAAGAAAGCACTATTATTCCTGTTTGCCAGATGAGGAAATAAAAGCTCAAAGAAGTTAAATGGATGGTTGTGTTCCTCAGTTCATAAGAAAAAAGAGCAATAATTCAAGACCAGGTTTATTGTATCCCAAGTCCATTTTTTTCTAATTTATAAGTTATATTCCCCCAGGAGATGCTGACATTCTCTATAAAGTTTGTCTCTTAAAGAACCTTTACTATTATTATTTTTTTAAGTCTCAGGATCATAGTATCATATAAATCATAATTCTTGGCTCATGGTACATTCATCTGTGGTTCATTCATGGTCATCTTTTATTTGTTTGGTTTTTTATTTGATACCATTATAACAATGATAATAATTCAGGAATAATAGTAACAAATAGAATAAATAATAAAAGACTATGAATAGGCAAGCTAATTTTGAGAAAGAATGAAGCTGGAGGCATCCTGTTAACCTGCTTTCAAAATATGTTATAAGGCTACAGTAATCAAAACAGTAAAGCACTGGCATAAAGAGAGGCATATCAACCAGAAGAGCAGAATACAGGACCAAAAGTATACCTACACAATACACAGTCAACTGATCATTGGCAACAGTACTAAAGGTACACAAAGGAAAAAGAAAAGTCTTTCTTTTTTTCCACATACAAAAGAATGATATTGGATGCTTATCTTATACCATACATCCTAATTAACTCAAAATGGAAAAAAGAATTAAAATTAAGGCCTGGGCCGGGCACAGTGGCTCACACCTGTAATCCCAGCACTTTGGGAGGCCAAGGTGGGTGGATCACGAAGTCGAGAGATGGAGACCATCCTGGTCAACATGGTGAAACCCGTGTCTACTAAAAATACAAAAAATTAGCTGGGCATGGTGGCATGTGCCTGTAATCCCAGCTACTCGGGAGGCTGAGGCAGGAGAATTGCCTGAACCCAGGAGGCAGAGGTTGCGGTGAGCATTGCACCATTGCACTCCAGCCTGGGTAACAAGAGCGAAACTCTGTTTCAAAAAAAAAAAAAAAATTAAGACCTGAAACTATAAAAAATCCTAGAAGGAAATTTAAGGGAAAGCTACATGACATTGGTCTTGGCAGTGATTTCATGGATATGGCACAGGCAACAAAACCGAAAATCACGTGGCACTATAACAAATCAAAAAGCTTCTATACAGTAAGGGAAACAATAGAGTGAAAAGGCAAACAATGAAATGAAAGAAAATATTTATTTGAATCTCTTATATATTTTATTTTCCTTAACAGATGTTGAGCTTCTCAGAGATAGGGATTATTTTAAATTTACTTGCGCATTTCTCACCAACATAGTCATTTACTCTGGTTTGCCCTTATTTGTGGGAGGGATGGATGTCTACTAACCCCATGTTTTCTTCAGCACCAACCCAATTACTTTTGCTTTTCCTTCTCTAAGATTTTCTTCTTTTGTTTCCATGACTCACTATTTCTCCCTACCTGTGTGTAGAATATACTGATGGTGGTGGTGGGGGTAGTGGGGGTGGGAGGAACCAAGATGAAAGAAGGAAGCAACGGAAGTTTGCAGTGCATAAGGCTATTGTCCCCAGTGGATATACAAGAAAGTGATATAAACACATTGATGGGCGAGAAGATGTCAATATCTCTGCTTGTTATTTTAAGGGTAAGAAGTGACTGAGCTTGAAATGAGATCAATGAAAAGAAGGTAGGTAGGGACTCCAATTTCATATTACTATTGATGTGCTATTTCTGGTGCATCCTAGATGAGCAACCATTCTTACTACATCACATAATACCTTGCCCTTGAATAGAGGATTAGAAAGTAGTTCACATTATCTCCATTTTAAAGATGAGGAAAATCATAGTGATAAATATATCTGAAAACTGGAGACTACATCAAGGGAGCTCTCTCCTGTTTGATGTGGCTCTGTCCTAATCACATGCTTTCACAAACTGAAATACATTTCCTGAGGCTTTTTAATGTTTATTTTGTATGTTCTCTTCTTCCTTTCAGGGCTTCAAATGTTGCTGCTGCTCTTTTGGAGCTCTGTGATTCCTGAAATATTGTTAGTGTCCAGGTTCTCCTCTTGCCAAGCTTAGTATTTGGAGCATTAAAACAATGTCGGGCAAATGACATCCTATTTAATCATGTGAATTCTAGTTTTTAGATCCATTTCAATTAAGTTGTTCCGAAAAAGTAGCTATTTCTGACACTTATTTCAGAGAAAATGCCACTAATGAAAACATTGCAGATTCATAGCTCAACCTGCTTTTCAACAATTTGTATATGGTGTGACCTACCACATGCTGCTTTTGCAGATTTACACCTTGAATACTGAAGCCATTAGGAAGAGGGGGAACGAGGGTGGGGGAAAAGAGTGGGGGAAGAGTGAGAGAGCAAGAGTGACCGCAAGAGTGAGAGTGAGAGCCAGGGGGGAGAGAGAGAGACTTTATTTTTAGCTTGACTTCTAAGTCAAGAGTCGGAGGACAGAGAGAAAGCAATCAACAAATATTCATGACATTGTTGTCTAAGTGATGAGGTATGTCATGTTACTTATTGAGTTGTTCAGAATATTAGTGACATTTTTCTTAAAATGTAATGTACAGGTTGAATGCACTTAAGAAAAATTCTAGAGAAAAGTTATTTCCAATGTTTTTTTTCTTTGGGTAGTGGTGGTGAGGGATGTGTGTTATTGATCTTATAATAGAAATAATGGCTTCAACCAGGTTTTCTGAGAAAATTAATGGCTGCCTAAGGTTAATGATCTTCAATCTCCCAGTCAGCCATTAATCCCCAGGAAATGCCCTGGGCCTTGATCATTATTGTGTAAATAATACAAAAGTGGGTATAGTTCTTTTGTCATATGGGAAACATATACCACTTGAGTTCTTTCTCTTTATGACAGTAAGAATAACATATTAGGAGAAAAAGCACAACAATTATGCTTCAATGCAAATAAATAGTCTTGTTTAAACAAAAATTATTAAACAGAATATTGAACAAACTTAAACTCTGTATGTTTGAGTAGGAAATAATGGGGGACAGAAAGCTCCGAATTCTTAGGCAGCTGTAGTTAGAGCTATGAGTGAGGTAAAATGAAGAGCCAAATATTGATTGAAGACAATGCAATTACTGTCATATTAGATATTTCAAATTAGAATCACAGTTAAATAAACATGTAAGCAACTGCATTGATGACCATGAACAAAAGATAGCACTGAAAGTTACTTTTAACATTAGGACTTGATAGTCTAATAAAAATATCTTAAGTAAATACATTTTTAAAAATTCGAAATAAATATGATGAATAGGAATATTTTTCTTATCTTAGAATATCAAAGATTTTTTATAGTCTTTTTCATGGGTTATTTTGCATTCCAGGATTTTCAGGAAGGCAAGTAGCAAAATGAAAAAACATGTGCAGGAAATTAGTTTAGCAGTAGCCCTCATCTGCCAAAGGGGATGCTACTGAGGTGGAGAAGCCTTCAGTAGGATTTTCTTACTTTGAACAGAAATGTGCTTGTCTAGCATTATCATGTGTCTCAGATTCAGCTGAAGGTCTTTACACTAAGTAGGTTCTCAGTAAACAGTTGCAGCATAAGTACATGCTCTCTTGCCCTTAAGTTCCTTGTATATTTGGAAGATTAGCATTTTATCTCTTATACGTGTTGCAAGTGTTTTCTCCTAGATTGGCATTTACCTTTTACTTTATAATTGTTATTTTTTTTTCTTACATGTAAAAGTCTAATTTCCTCCAATCTCTTTTTTTTCTCCTCTGGAT